ACAGGAGCTTGTGGACGGGGAATTTCGCGGATGAGAGACTGTAAGCCGAGTCAAGGAGCTCTGCGAAGTCGACTGATCGTGCTTTGCCTCGAGCAATAGCTGCAGCATTAGCTAACTTGGCAGTGAAGGTTCGTTTTTGGTTCTGTCCGGCCGAGGTACCAAACGCCGTTTTCTGCTCAGGGACGGCGGCTAGGAGTTCGAAGGTACCATCTACTCGAACAGTGAGTCCCGCAGATCCTGCCTCGCAACTGTCTATAATAAGTACGGCGTCCATAGACACGTCGGATTGCTGAGAGTTTATCGACACGGCTTCTGTAAGTGTGTTGAAGGTAAAGGACGGCTTTGATTGAGGATTAGCATAAAACCATAGTCCTTGCTGTGGCCCGTAGGCCCCATGTCCTGAGTAATGGATGATCACTAAATAGCGACCAAATTGTGGGTCGAGGCATTTCTGTAGTCCATCCAGAAGGTGTTCGCGGATCTTGCTCATAATAGTCCACCCGGGAGTTCTATCACTAGCTAAGAGAACGCACTCCTCGACAGAATCGATGCCTAGCGCTCGAACAAGACTTTTAAAGTTAGGAAGATCTTGTTCTGCACCTGTGTTGTCTTCCTCAAACCTGATTGCGAAGGCACTCAGACGTTGGTAGTAGCGCTGTCTTTGGTGGACACATCGTTCCAGGGTTCCCTGGATTTCTGCCGCACTTGCGACCTGCTGGGTATCCTCCATGTCTTTCAAGTTGAAGCAAAAAACCGTCACAACAAGGTTGTTCAAACGATTCACCCACAGGGCGTCTTGTTGAAGAGCTTAGAAAACTCGTCTTTAGAGGGAGTAACTTGACGACGACTTGACGAAAATCGAGGATAAAGGCTTAACAGAAGAACTGAGAGCTGGTAGAAGGGCTTGGTAAAAGGGCTGGTAGAAGGGCTGGTAGAAGGGCTGGTAGAAGGGCTGGTAAAAGGGCTGATAGAAGGGCTGGTAGAAGAGTTGAGAAGAACTGAAGAAGAGAAGAGAAGTGAAGAGAAGGGAGAAGAGGTTTGTTTATATACTTGGGAAACGTGATGTCATTGACTCTTTGATAAATAAAAACAGGAACGATGTCCGCTTTAGGACTAGCCTGAGGACTAACTCGTTAGCATAACTAGAACTAGTCCCAATCAGGATAAGCGCTGTGTTCTTCACTAGTTGAGGTTGATGGCTAGGTTCGCTCTTTGTTCAACTGCCTGGCCGTGACTACTCACGAGGTTTAGTTATGTCTTAAGGTCTTCACTAGTTAGTTATTTACCCACCATTATAATGATGTGTAAAGGCTGGTCGGTGTAGGAAATTATAGCAGACGCAGTGAAGATTCTACCACGGAATCCTCATATGCCCTGACTCTCTAACCGTCCTCACGTCACTCACCAACCAGATAATAAATGAACGGAGGAAGAGTGGCCGCTTCACCATCACCCCTTTTGGCTGCAGGCAGACTTAACGACTAGATAATTACACCCCCAAACCAGGCATCAACCAGGTCCATTATACCCCAAGTGATTGAATGAAGATGTGTCTAATTCTAAGAACTCTATCATACCTCTTTCTTGACTTTAAGTATATGCGAGGAACGGTGAATGCAAAACAGAATCTTTGATACCCTAGAATTTACACCCCTTTCACCTCCGGCTCCACCATCTTGTTATATGAGTGGTGAGGATAGGTCACTACTTAAGGCCAGAATCATCATGGTTGTCCCTTCGCATTCATCCTCCAACGGGAATCCTTCATCCAGTCAATGGTCGGCATCCTGGTCATCGCGCGACGGTTTTTGGTGCAAGTCACAGTAATATCAAGCCCACCTCCATTCTGATTTAGCAGATTTGGGGGAATTAGCATCTGAAGCTCGCGCCCATGCCCCTGGATATAAGATATCTGTATGACTCTAGTTGGATCCCAGCTTCTATCCAAGGAACTGATATACTTGCTGATATTAATCTGATTCCACCATAACCTGGATCTACCGTACTTTTCGGGTACCCACGCCTTTTGAATAGCGGAGAGTTGCGCTGGATTTGCAAAGACAGCGCAATACCTGCCAACATGAGAAGTTAATTCCACTCTGCGGCCTTGATTGGTGTAAAGAAGGGGTATTGAAGGAATAACGCACGAATGTTCGCGGCCCTTCCGCCAATATCCCCCTCGTGCCGTGAGATAGACTCCTTTCCCTAGCTGTACTTCATGGTGATTCCCGTCAAAAGTAAGGGTGCCAGCTGCCTCATAATGTGCTGCTTGTTTCTATATACCGTTTAGCCAGCCAGCTTCCGTTCATCTGCAGGGGAAACAAGTTATCCAGCATACATCATGAACTGTTCGGTAACCGATGATATCTCCAGCTTGAGTCGAGAAGGTTATGGTCCCTCCAATCCAGGCTAAAGCAAGGACCACGAGTTTGCTAATTGGAAACATCCTGTACACTTGAGGTTTCAGAAGCTAGAAACTGTAAGATGACCACAAAGGATACTGCGAGCAATTTCTTGAATGAACTGAGGCCCTCATCCCCTGTTTTATACCCAATCTGCCCCAGTCATGACCTCCCAGTTTGTCGATAGCTACACATGTTGCTGATACTGGCTCAGCAAACTTTACGAATTGTACCGTCGTTTTCTTTTCAAACCAGCCAGATGTACGATTATCATGGAACGTCGAGTCTACGTTATTCATTCTTCTCAAACTCAATAGATTGTAATAATATTCTCCTACTAGATATCTGGCGTAGCAGTCACTATCCAATGCTGAATACCAACCAAATCATTGACTAGAAGTTGATCACTGTATGAACATACCTTAGTTCCCAGAGTAACAACCATATGCTGATGAATGGACTGGTTACTGGGTCACGTCGTGTTCTCCATCACGTACAGCAAAGAACCGAGTTATGTGAAATATGATGGGTGAGCATGACCTTTGAAGTTGTCAATTACGATAGCCAAATCAAGTACATATGCAATCACTATCTGGTGCTAAAGGGGTATAAATTCTTGGGGTTTGCCCAAACTAACAAGTAGCTGTTTTGTTTATAAGCACCCATTCTCCACCCCCCTGAGCTTCTGGAATTTGATAGCTATAACAAACATACCTTGTCACACCGCCTATCGACGATTACTTCTAGACGAAGTCAAAATGGGTGATACCGTACGAGCCTTTCTTTGTAACAATTGGCGGCGGGACAGTTTCTCCAACAATTACATATATTTCAAGCAGAATGGCACCGGCTCGGTGAGCATGTCCCCCTTTCTTTAGGATTAGCCCTAAAAGTTCATGACTGACCAAGTATCCTAAGCTATTTTGTGCTAGTGATGACGCTAAGATATGGATCCATACGGGAATCAAGTGGGAGGCTACAGATCCTAGCGTATTGAAGCAGGTCGTTGGAGCAAAAACCTCTAGCGCAGACGCACAGCTTCTGTCCGAGTTTGAGTTAAAAATCACACTTACGAAACGCGGACCTAAAGAGACACGAGAGATGCCGCATCCCCACCTCGGGGCGGTAAAGGATGGTAGGCTTCTGGAGGAAGCCTTTGAGCCAAAGAAATACATGGTACGCCTGGAGAAGGGGAAATTCATACCCGCTCTGGATAAAGACCCTGATGGCCGAGTGAAGTGGCGTGCCATGTCTCCCTATAACTACCGCTTGGTATTTGACAAGTCTCCGTACCCGGCAGGCGAGCATTGGAAGGATCCAGAAATATGTGATGATGCTAAGAGTGCTCATGAATGGAAGGAGTTCCATGCGGGAAGTACTAAATACAAATAATGGGGTATCGCCGTGAATGCAATGCGAGTGTCATATTGCACCAGAGGCTGCATTCTGGCAACTCGTTACGAAAGGGCGTCTCGGATTGAGTACTCCGTACTGGGGATATTTTAGGTATCCATCGTTCTTGGCTGAAATCGTCTCTCAAGTTCGTGGTTCACTCGGGAGTGCAAACAAGAGTGCCCAGAGAAGCAAACATGGCGTTGTCTATTAGATAGTGTCCCTTCCGGGGCTGTGAGTCCTTTCGGGTAGATGGAATGAGATTTATGATAGTCAAGAAAACACGAGACTGATAAGACTGCATATCAACACACTGTCCTCTGAGACCCTAGACCCAAGACGCCCAAGAGGAGTCCCCAAGAAATTGCCTGCAAGGTATCCGGTGCGGTGTGAGCGGCGCCCTAATCCATTACAGCGAAGGGAGTACTTCGTAGTGCATGTCTAAGTATCCCGTCAACGCCTCAGCAGCAAGCAAGACGCCGTTAGGAAGAAAAGAAAAAGACTTTTTGATAGACGCGGAGGCTGGTCGTCCGCTTTGACTTTTGACTGATCATTAGTCAGCAGTGGAAAAGAAGCTATTTTAGGCGTGGTCACACGGAGCTCGTAAATAAACTGTCCAATGAGAAGCTTCCAAACCTTAAACCGACGCAGGTCGACGTGGCTCGGCATATAGTTTCGGCTTACATAACACAAAATTGTCTTAAAGTTCGGCACTAGCAGTTGATTACGTCACCTTTGATCCCTTCCGGATCGGGAAGCCTGGCCATTTTTGGGGCGTTTTCCTGATTTCTTCGTCGCCTTTTCGACTTCCGGCGAGTTCGAACGTCTTTCGTCCTCCAAGCGTTCTTCAGCTTCATCGTCTCTCTCTGCCTGTTTGTATATTCTGCTATGTCAAGCTGAACCGAGTTCTGGCTGCTGGTCATATACTTCCACCATATATATCTGCACATAGCTATTATTGTCTAGGATCAGAATAATCCTGGTCCGAGCTCGACCGCGTGCTAATGAGGCCTCTGTTCAGCGGATTCCAAGTCATGATGGGATCTTCTTCTTCCGACCAGATCTCGTCTGCAGGCCGCATCTCGAAGCTGGTCGTCCTCTCCTATGTTTTGGACTGGATAATCATCTTGTTCGTCTCTCTCTCCTTTGTGCGCATCTTGCATGCGGCGGTTACTGTACCGGGCGCTAACTGATGGCTACAGGTTGATGGGTGCGCTGGGCCGCATATTTGCAATTGCACATCCAAACAGACACTCCTTCAGCCTTCGAGACCCCAACATATCGTATCCATTTGCAGTCAAAGAAACTGTCTCCGTTGAGGTGCTTGTCCTGGTCACTCTCCTCGCGCCGCTCGTTCTGATTGCGCTTTTCAGTCTGCTCTTCATACCGGGTCGAACTGCTGCTGCAGGGGCACCGAGCTCCCTGGTATGGCGACGGAAGCTGTGGGAGTGGAATGCGGGCTGGATGGGCTTTGGAATTGCATACGCTTGCACTTATGCTGCGACGGAAGGAATGAAAGTGCTCTTTGGAAAGCCCAGGCCAGACATGCTTAGCAGATGTGACCCGGACTTGTCTGATATTTCCAAACACGTTGTCAGCGGGTTGGGCCAGAGACTCGATGGCGCGCCAGAGTTGGTTACTTGGACAATATGTCGCAATACAGCGAGCATGCTGCTGCGTGACGGCTTCGTCAGCTTCCCCAGCGGTCATTCATCCAGTACGTTTCCTCCATTCGTGAATCTTCCATCGCGACTGTATTAACCGATATTCTAGTGTCTTTTGCTGGTCTCGTATACTTGACTCTCTGGATGTGCTCCAAGCTTTTCCTTGCGTTCCCCAACATATCTCCGAATCTCTTTACTCGAGACATCCGCGCTTCCTCCTTCCATCCACATCCTCCACACCAAGAAGGCGAAGACACCTGCGAAGCGCAGTCCTGCCCAGATGAAATACCACTACGTGAGCAGGGAGCTGCTCCACCAACATACCTCATCCTCATTGCCGCCATCCCTATCTGCACTGCCATGTTCATCGCCAGTAGCAGGTGGGTGGACAACAGGCACTTTGGATTTGATATCATATTTGGAGCCGTGCTTGGCACACTATTTGCTTGGATCGGATTTAGTCTCTACCACCTCCCCCTCGCATCAGGTGCTGGTTGGGCATGGGGTCCAAGGAGCAGGCATTTCGCCTTCTTTGCTGGAGTCGGCTTCCCGACTTATGGATGTGCCATGGACAAACATGAGCATGCAAGAGCATCTATTCCGCAATGATACCCGCCTAGTATCTAATCATTTTTCGCGCATATTTGCATTTTAACGAATCATGCATGAATACCCTGATTAACGCCATTTATCTATTTACGTCTATAATAATTAAAAAATATACAATTAAATAATATCACCTATCTCCATCCTCCTACTCTCCCTTCATCCCATCGCGCTCTCGCCTCTCTTCTAGCCTCCAACTTGGCTCCCTCAGATCTAATCCGCCTAACCCACTCTGCAACCTCTCTCTCCGCCGCCACACCTCCTCCACGCTGCCCTTCTTCCAGAAAACTCTCCTCAACAGCTCTGCAAACAGCCTCTTGCTCTGCTACAGCACCAACTAGACGCTGATATAACGCCTTCGGTGACCACGGATCCAACGCAGCGTCCATTTCCGTCTGCTTCTTACGCCATGATACTTCTAGCGACTGATGCTGTAAAAGAAGTGCTTCGGTCGATGCTCGCAGGGCTGATAAATGCGACTGTAGCCCGAGAAGATGTGTAGCTAGGGAGGTGTTGGTAGCCAGCAGTTTTTCAATGTTATTTGAAGCATGTATTGATGCCGGATGTGTGTCTGCTATTGCGGATATTAAATTCGAATTCGATAACAGGGCATGTAGATCGGCAGTACTATCATATGGTCAATACAAGCGGCTTATCATCTTTCTGGCTTCAGCTGCGACATACGATTTATCTTGTAATATCTCTGGAATCCATCTGTCTTCTATTGTGGGCGGAGTAGGCTGTGTCGGCACTTGTTCAAATAAAGGCTGACTGGTTGGAATGGCTGATGAGCGGCCTGATGCTGGCCCCGACCCTGGGGCCGTGATGTCTGTTATGTCGGTGCCTGGATGTGTTTGCGAGTGTATCGGCTCCTTCGGCGGTGTTGAGGGCGGATGGCCATCGTTTAACTGTGGCTGTTTTGGCGGTGGTGGTGGAGGAGTCCTAGGGTTTTGAAGGGGCGTTTGTGAAGCGCTGCCCGGAAACGACGACATGATGTTAGCCCTTTATTCTTCCACTGTCGTACTTTAGGCCCGCGGAAGCTGTTGAATGTTGGTGTTGATGTCGCGGTTGAAATTGGAACCTCGGGGTTGGATGAACCCTTGTCGCGATCGGGCCCAGATGATGTCACCTGATGGGGCTCTGCCAGGGCGCTTGTTTCAAGCGACGTCGAACTGTTGTTAGTTACTCTCGTCTTTTTATTATCATTTAGACCTGGCGTCACAACTAACGACAACTCGACTTATAAACTTCTTATATTGATGACCTTTCAATCTCTGAAGCGATGATACTGAGTAGAGGTAATAAATTCATATAGTATTAGTGCTAATGGGCTTCTAGAAACTTTGCAGCGGCAGCTGGTAAACGCAGAGCGTGTCCATTGCAGGTTCATTGACCCCCACTTCCAAGAAGTGGAAGGCCATCGATAAGTGCTCCGCTGAGCAGGCGTCCTTTGGATTGACGGGGAAGAAGAGACCCCCGTCTCAAGTCGCTTTCGACGTCTCCATGTTGTTTCCTGACAGGGCTTTCCCCATTGTTCATCTCATGATGTCCTAATGGCTGGCCACCTCCACATTCATCGGCGTGCTCATTCTCAGGGCAAAGGTTTTCGACGCTGTTAATGGGGATATGGTTGATATCCGAGGCTTCATCTTGCGCCCTGGGTCCCTAAGTATAGAGGAAGTAAGAGTCAACATAGGCTCTTTACTTGAATATGGAGCATATGAGTTGAGCTTCAAACTGCCATGGAAAAACCTACAATGTTCAGCATTCCAGGGGCGTTTTCATTTGGGAGGGCAACTGGGGCTGCCATGGCCAATGGCATGGCAGCGAAGATCCAGTAGAGGACGCGCATAGTTGGCAATTTTAGGCGTGCAGTTGGTTAACTGTAAGCAGGGCTGTGGGGGAGTTAGCTAGGCTGTATCAAGGTGACGACGAAAACAGAAGGGATCAGGGCATAGAGGTGATATTTATCCATGGTTGCATTCTGACCCCTTACCGCCGTTTGAGCTCGACATCTCAAGATAATTGGACGTGATGGCAGTTGCACATTCAAGTCTCTGATTAGATGTTAATTGGGTGGCCTCTAGACAGGTATTTTCCTCTCCCCTCCCGTGTACGACGCTATAACTAACCAGAAAGCCTCACTCTTTTCGTATATACAAAGTGAGGTGTCTGCCAGCTCCTTGTACAACAGTCTCACATTGCCTAGGGGTAACTAATTATCCCACCAATAGCGATACTGTTAACTATCTCCCTTACTTTTTCTGTGATATCTCATTTTGATTGTGCGATGCTTGGTTATCGAACCGCCCATGCAGTTTCACCAACATATTGTCCGACCCATGGGACTCCACTCTTGGTGCAGCAGAGTTAGGGGGGAAGCCCGTTGGGAATAGCAGACGCATCGCATTGAATTCCGGTTTGTTCTCAAGAACCAGTGAAGTTGATGATTATTATATTAACTGTGTACCAGGGAATAAGTATTAAACGCGTAATTACATGTGTCAAAAGGTGGGGATTCAACCAAGGCAAAGAAACGCCTTGCCGAGTGTGCTGCTGCCATGCAAATAACCCAGATTGCTCTTCCCTATGGATACATACCAAATTCACAATGCACCCGTTGTGAAATGGACGGCGCAAGCATATCAAATTACTGGCCACCTCGCTCGATGCACTTCAATACTCCTAGTTATCCGCTGAATCACGACGGCCGAATCCTTCGTTGTGAATATTCCCACCGGTTTGGAGCAAGGGTTCGGTTACAGTGCTGGTTTGGTGGTTTTGCTGGTTGTTGAACGGGCCCTCATCCCCGTTTCGCTTGGCCTTCTCGGTTGCATCTTTCTGTTCCTCACGACGACCGAATCCCTTGTTATTAAGGTTGCCGTGGGTGTTGAGCAGTGGCTCGATTACGGTACTGCTCTGTCCGTTTTGCACATTGTTGAAGGGGAACTCGTCGTTGTTTCGCTTGACCTCATTGGGCTCATTTTCCTCCTTGGGCTCAATTTTATCTCCGGAGTCACGGCGATTGAATCCGTGGTTGTTGATATTCCCCTCAGTGGTCATCATTGGATTGGTTATGACGGCGTGCTGACCATTTTGTTGGCTGTTGAATGGGCCCTCGTCGTCATTTCGCTTGACTTGCTTTGAGTCTGCTGAGTCACGACGACCGAATCCACGGTTAAGGTCGTTTCCATGGGTATTGAGAAGTGGGTTAAGTGTGACGGAGTTCTGGCCATTCTGCTGGTTGTTGAATGGGAACTCATCGTCATTTCGCTTGACTTGCTTTGATGCAACTTCATCGGCAGAGTCGCGACGACCGAATCCACGGTTAATGTCATTTCCATGGGTATTGAGGAGTGGGTTAAGGATGACGGAGTGCTGCCCATTTTGCTGGTTGTTGAATGGGAACTCATCATCATTTCGCTTCTCACGGCCGAGATTGTTAGCATCGAGGCCAGCGTTTCCTGCATGGACGCCTCGCACGTCACCACCAAAAGGGAAAAGGCCGCGTCTCTGCCCGAACTTCTTCTTTGCTGCCTTTTCATCCCCGGATGACCCACGACGTGCTATGCCTGTGGAAGAGCCGGTGACCTTCCGAGCGAGGCCATCGACGACCTCAAGAGGGTTGATGGGCTCCCTCTTTTGGACGGTTGGAGCGCCGCCTGCTGGCTTAGGAGGGGAAGACGTGAACGGCTCGCCACTGTTCAACTTCCGTAGGAACTCGCTGATTGGGTCTGTTCCAGTACCAATAGTCAGAGGGTTCTTCAGTTGATTCGGGTTCTACAGGATCTGTTAGTTCAAAATTTCCCGGCAATTTCCTTCGTCGAAAGACATTAGATGATTCATCTAAGCAAAGAACAGACTTACAACTGCATTCTGGAGGTTCTGGGGGTTAAGGGGAGCGGCAAGGGCCCCTGGAAGGGTGGCCGCGGCCCAGTAGATGAAACGCATGGCAGATGAGTTTTTTCGTCCGGCTTGTCTGGCTTGTCTGGCTTGACTGTCTAGATGACAGGAAGACAAGTCAGAATGAGGATGACGGGGACAGTCAGAGGATCCTGGGCCTAGGGTATTCCGTGGCAGTATTTATACAGTGCCTCATCGAGCACAAGCAAGACGTCCCCAACCCGGTTTACTTTGTGATATCGCTTTCCCGCACAGCCGGGAGGCGGGGGATCCTCTGCAGGCTTGATCTCCATGGTAATAACAGGCAGATTGTCCGAATAGAGTCTGCTTGTTCTACCATCGACCACCCGACGGTCACAGTCGATTGCCGGTAGTCACCAGGGAGTTCAGTCCTGTGCAACGAAGTAGGGTTCGATATATTGGGGTATTGGTTGGACAACAGAGGCGATCATCAGATAGTCGCAAGGAACACTTTGGCCTTGAGTTGGTCGTACCTTGCAGCTATTTCAGGGGCAAGGTAGGACACGGGAGGGCTTGTCTCAGCTGAGACGCAGGTACTCCGTAGACTTTATCACTATGCGGCTGCCGATTGAATATAATATCAATTTAATCAAGTTTACCCGCCTTACTGTCAGTGCTGCCACTGCCACTGCCGCTGCTTGAGCCCAAGCCCAGGCCGTAAACTGGGCTGCGGGTTTGCCATCGAGCGCCACGACCAGGCCCCTGTGGTCTGCAGAGCAAGCCACGAATGCTTTGCGCGCTGCGAAGTACGAGCTAGGGGGACGATCGATCGATCGCTCCGATTTGAAGGGAGATGTCGTACCCAGTGTACTCCGTATGGCCCTACGGAGATACTATTGCTGGTAGAGGAAATGTCCGGTCGTTGAAGTGAAGCGAATAACTAGTTGTTTAGCTGTCTCGATTGCCGGGTGTTGGCTAGTTATATAGCTATCTAGCAAGTTTAACTGGTTGGTTGATACTCCGTAGGGTACGGAATATATGCGGGAATATGTAGGTCAGCAATCAGCTTTTCAAGATTACAATCGGCTTTGATCGGAGGTACATTCAAGAAATATAGGAGCAGAAATTCTTAAATAACTGGTAATTTGATATCCAAATTGCTTTTTAGTTAACTATGGGGTGAAGATCCCTCGGTAAACGCTGAGACTTTTTCTTGATAAGCCGTGCAATTAATTCGACAGCAGGGCCAGATATTGGGAAGCTTTTACCGGCAGGGAGACAATTCGTCCTGTACTACGTAACTAAAATATCAACGCATACACACTCCTAGTATCTCGCCTGTGGAGAAGAGAGCCTGAGCCAATTCCTCGCTACAGGCGTTTTTGGGCTATAAAAGGGTAGTTAGTTAACAGCTCGGACATCAAAAAAACCATGCTCAGAGGCCAGTGAATAACATTACTGTTGATCCAGGGGTAGAAGAGCTGATGTGGCAATGGCCAGAACCAGAACAATGCTAATCAAGCCTCGAGCTCTGTATAAGGATAAGAACAGAGAGAATGGCTATTTATGTACGGAGTATAACCAATCCGCACACCAGCGAGAGCTAGGAGCTGAAAACCAGTCTTCTTTAGCTTGTAATTCGGGGCAAAGGGACAAGATTCAGACCTGAATCAGGATGAGTACAAAGTGTAGCGCGGAGAGACTGACGAAACCACTCTTGATTTTTACGTGGAAATAGAGCAGAAATTCCCTAATAACAGCGTTTTTGACGGCTAATAAAAGTACTCTTTTAGCTATTTTTTGTGTAAAAAACAGGTATATACCAATACTTTGCGAACCTTTGGTAGTTTGTGGTAACCAAGGGTCAAATTTTTCCTTCTTTTTTCAGTCGGGAAACGGCGGCGGAGCATCTTTTCCGAGCTAGCATGCGTTTCGCTATATCGAGATCATCTCGGATGTCATCCCACGTTAGAGATAAGTCGACATTGTAAGCTTCATCGTCTGAGTCCACGCAGTCTGAGAATTTGGTATTGAGGCTGGGGTACGCTTCGTAGAGGGGTGCCCCTGACTGCTTGATCCCCTTTGCAGGCTTGGGATGTCCGAAAAATGTCTTATATAATTAGAATTAACATCCGTCAGTTGAATCTGCATACAACAAAGTAGATGATTCATAGTTCTTACCACTCTCGGGGTCCTTGCAACTACTTCCCCAGTCACAGAGTCCTTCCCAAACACTTGGACTGCAGCAGTCAATTCTCCTACCCATTGAATTCCGTATAGAACCACAGGACTGAACAATTCTCGTCCGGCGCAGTATTGATCAATAAGTAGCTCAGGTTTATCGGTGCTCGCTTGCATCATAGCTTTACATATCTCAATGTTCTGTTCCTTAGTGGATTCTTATAACTTGGGCTTTCTTTGATGTCGACTAAAATTCCAACCTTTACGGAAGCTTTTTGCAGAAGATTTCTGATTGTCATCTCCAGGTCCAGGCTGGGTTGTGAAAACCCTACTTCCATTGCAAGAACTGGGATAACACCCATATTTGAGCGCCACACCATCTGTAGGTCGGGGTCAGGTAGGTAATCATCAATTTCCGTATTTTTCATAAAGGAGAATCGTCTAGGGTGCGGTGGTATAAGGTTTCGTAGCTGAGCTGAAACATTACTGATAACACATTCGTGGATGGAGACCTGTCGTAGCTGGATAGAAGTGGTGTGAAATGTTTTATCAAATCTCAGAATAGCGGATTGACTCCTCCTATATATTTCACAGTAAGCATCAGTACAAAATGATAGTAGGAAAAGGAAGACAAACTTGTTTGTTGAATTTTCAAAAGCTTCAAAGAGTCTGTTGTATTCTGCCCTGTTAGTCTTAATCGAGATCACTTCGCCAGAATAGTCAGTAGGAAATATTCCACGAAACAATTGGTCTCGCTGCTCCTGGCTCAGGAATTCATCATCTGTCGACATATCCATCACTCTGGCATTACCAGGGGTGTAAAACCGGAGACAACGTGTTCCTGCAGTTACACTCAAACCATGGCTCACCCGCGAAGAAATGAAAGGCATATAAATACATGGAGGCCTTGCATGCAACAATAAAAACGACGTACTTGAGCTCAGCCTGCAAATCCGAGGAATAACAGAGCGTAAAAACATCGCTGCAAGGAGATTTCATCAGAAGAGATGATGATTATCAGAATCGAGAATATTGTGCTAGTCAGGATAGCAGATGGTTGAGGGAACGTTTGCGAAGAGCTAATAGCACAACCACAAAGCAAGAAGACGTTGACAAAAAGATGGAAAATGAGACGATGGAAAGCTCAAGAAGGCTTCTTTATATTTTCAGCCAGAGAGAGAGCCACCTGAGCAACTACCAATATGAAGGACAGGACAGGAAGACCAAGCAAGAGGACAAAACAAAGAAATTGCGAGTAAACACAAACAGGGAAAGCTTTTATACAATGGAAATGATAAATTAGGTACCTAGGTAAGAGATTGGTATATGTCCCTGATGTACGCAGATTTCCACTGGATTGCCGACCACCCGCAAGACAAGCGAATACTAATACTGGTGGCTTCCAGAACAGAGAGGTATAATAACAAATGGCCCCCTTTTTTTAGCACGAAGATATTGTTTATATTTATTTAGCTCAGATATAAACAGTTCTTTGTAGACTTGGTATAATGCTTGCATGGTATTCAGGCAGGGCAACGTTCATCAAGTTGAAAAGAACTGAAGGAGTCGTTTTTGCTACTTTATATGTCGTCATTGGCTCCTCTCGAGTGCTAGCTAACTTAGTGGCAAAACACATGATCGTAGCTTCAAGAAGGCACAGTAAGAAGATGCCTTAGTGCTCAAATGGACAAATGAATTCGAGATAAACAGATGTAAAGCTGATAGATGATGATGACTGGATAGAGTACAGAGCCGCTTCTCTGGAAATCCAGGTGGTTGGTGGCGTCCCAATCAGGACTAGCGCCATTACTTTTCTCAGCCCTATATTTAATCTGTGACGCTAGTCCCGATTGGGACGCCGTTGAAAAAGGTATCAGAGTATCAGATGTCAGAGACATTATTAGGTAGTTTAGGAAGAAGCTGGTTGACTAGATTTATTATTATTGATGATAAATGTCACTATTTAGATCAGAGTACTGTACACGGGTCTATACAGTATGTTTGACACAAGTCTGGGTTGTCCATAGTTTGCTATTTCATATGTGGGCCGTCATCCTAAAGAAAAAAAAAAAAAAACTCCACGAAGCATAAGTATACATAACAAGCGTGAGTAGATAAATAGGAGAGATATAAGAGATTAGGAGGTATTTTACCTCAATTCTAGCTAGGCCGCCGGTGGATGGATGGATCCATAAGGTTCGGGATTTCCGCGGAAGAACTGTTATTCCATGCCCAGGCTTCCATGGAGTCAAACTTTAGCAACAAGCAAAGCTGAAGTCGAGCTCGAATGGACGATTGTTTCTAGCAGCTTTAAGAAGTGAATGCGCTTACGTCTGACATCATGGAGGTAGCCTCCAGATCGATACTGCGGAGGACTGTTCTCAAATCCCAGACACTGCGGCGAACAGCCCCCTGCCTTGTCTCGGTGCCAGCCTATGCCCATCCGATCACGCACCGACATTTCAGCTCGACACCGCGGAGGACGGCGGACCCTAACCATGGGCCTTTCTTTGGCCTCGGTGCTGGAGGTTCGCCGCCCATGGGCACTCCTACGACGTACTTCTCTAGCCGTCCCTCATTGCCCGCAAACACTATAATCAGATTTGTACCCCAGCAGACAGCATGGATAGTGGAACGAATGGGGAAATTTAATCGTATCCTGGAGCCTGGGCTGGCTATTCTTGTGCCTTTCCTTGACAGAATTGCATATGTGAAGAGTTTGAAGGAAGCTGCCATTGAGATTCCGAGCCAGAATGCCATTACAGCAGACAATGTTACTTTGGAGTTGGACGGCGTGCTCTACACTCGGGTCTTTGATGCTTATAAAGCTAGGTTCGTGATCACGGAATTGATACTGGGGCGGGGGAATATACTGATATGCTATCTATAGTTATGGCGTGGAAGATGCCGAATACGCGATATCCCAACTGGCGCAGACGACAATGAGATCCGAGATCGGTCAACTGACTCTCGACCACGTTCTCAAGGAGCGTGCGGTTCTAAACACGAATATCACACAAGCCATCAACGAGGCTGCACAGGATTGGGGTGTGACTTGTCTTCGTTACGAGATCAGAGATATTCATGCTCCCGAGGGAGTCGTCGAAGCCATGCACCGTCAAGTAACAGCCGAAAGATCGAAACGTGCCGAAATTCTAGACTCCGAGGGTCAACGTCAGAGCGCAATCAACATAGCTGAAGGTCGTAAACAGTCGGTTATCCTTGCATCAGAGGCTATGAAGTCAGAACAGATCAACAAAGCCATGGGTGAGGCTGAGGCTATCCGCCTAAGAGCCGAGGCTACTGCTCGTGGAATTGATGCCGTTGCAACAGCCATCCGGGAGGGACAGGAAGCGGCTAGTGGCGCAATCAGCCTTTCTGTAGCTGAGAAATACGTCGACGCATTCTCCAAGCTTGCAAAGGAGGGCACCGCTGTTGTTGTGCCTGGTAATGTTGGTGATATGGGTGGTATGATTGCCAGTGCCATGGCAGTCTACGGCAAGGTCTCAGAAGGACAGGCTAAGACGATTGCTGCAAAGGCCATCCAATCTGGTGAGCCGATCACTGAGCAGAAAACTACATCCGATGCGCACACTGCTACAAGCAAAACTACCCACTTCGAAGATAGTGAGCATTCCTCAACCGATAATACCGGGACGCCCCGAAATGAAGTAGCGGAAAGCGTTCTCGGCGGATTTGAACAGGCCAGCCACCGAGACCGGTAGAAAGGTCGGTTGTCTATCTGCCTGACTACGACGCCACATGGCTGCTTGGTTATCCTTTTTATATCAGATTTACTTTACTCCCACCTGTGTTACAATGTACTACTAACGTTCCATACACTTGTATTTCTTTTCTGTTCGACCTGGTTTTCACCGCTCAATATTTGTTAGGAGCACTTGTACGATGGAAAAGTCATCTGGAGAAACTCTTCATCTCGTTGTCAGCTACGGCGTATGATACAGGGCCTTGCTTCGTCTACTCACTGCTCATTTCCAGTTACTCGCTCTTTTTACGGCCTTTTTCTCGATGTAAACGGGCTCTCTCGAGGGGAGTACAAATAAGGTTTTAGGTTTTTTGCCGAGAGTTTCGACAAACGACATTCGTAGACGACACGGTTAAGATGACATCCAAAGCTGACATCTACAGCTGCAACTACAAAATGTTTGACAGTTGGTTGCAACGACATCTACTGATTTACCACTAAGCTCAGAGGCTACTGCCCGCCCGTGAATCATTCGGAAACTATAATCCTAGCCACTGGCAGTCCCCAATACCCAATAGTCACAATGTCATCATTCACTTCAACCATGGAATATGGAAATTTACGTGAATAGGTGGCAACCCGGGAGGATTAGGCTCCTATGACTATTTATTTTCCCTTTGCACTCCTTTACTTTTGGTTATGAAGGGTGTCTCCCCCCACCCCTCCCAACGAAACGCCAGTGCACAGACTCTGATAGTCGATTATCAAGGGCACAGATGAATGCAATACCACTTCAGGGAGAGAAATAGATGCGTTGTTACAAGGTCTCTTGACCCTACAGACGCTACCTATATCTTTCCTTACTCTTTATGGCACTCACAAATACCTTAAAGCCGCTACTACTAATTCTAGGAATTTCTCCGATACTTCGAGACTGAGAGCTATATTAACGCCTAGATAACCGCAGTATATCTAGTAGTACTATAGAGGTAGTCAAGAACTTACTTTATTTTGCACCTACAATCTATCGGTGGCATTCAAAGGGCCTCTTTGGGTTGCAGCCAATTCACCAGTCAGAGGACAGAAAGGAGTTTACTGTCAAATTTCACTGGCCCCTTGCATTTGGCTTAAAAGCTATTATCCCAGCTGCATTTAAAAAAAATAGGCCTTAATCATTCGCACAACCGAGATACTAAACCTAACTTAGGGCTCATATATGCAATAGACAGGCCAGGGCAGTTAGATTCTTAAGGTCAGTAAAAACGCGACTCCCTTTATCATGCTCACAGCCATGTTCCTAACGTTCATAAGCCATATTCAGCCTCAACCTCAAACTAGTGCAGTAATAAGCGCAATGCCATATCCTAGGGCTAATAGAGCATGTGTAATGCACAATCTTGTGGTTTGCGGTGCTTTTGATGCGCAATCCCCCATCGACGCGGCCGTATTTTCGGATTTTATGGGTATCTCAATGACCCTCGAACATGCTGCTCAGGGTGCTGAAAGAACGGCCCTCTCCTGTTTTCCACTGGGTGAACACTTCAATTTTCTGGAAACTAAGGCTCCTCCAATAACTATCATCAAATGGGGGGTATTGGGGCCTAACCAGACTCCATTGTTTACATACTCTAAAACACAATGGATAACAAGGCCTCACGAATGGCTCGAATATGTTAGCCCAGATGATATCCTTAAAAGAGTCACAGCCTGGATGGAAGATAAAGCACATACGGTGGCCGAAAATGATGTGGTAAACATATTTTTCGAGGCACATGGAACAATGAATGGGAAGATATGCCTAGGATCTAAATATCTCGAGACTTCCAAAGTAACCAGCTTACTCTCGCAATTTCCCACAGGCTGTCAAATGAATGCGGTTGGACGTCATTGCTACTATAGACAGTTCCGCAATGTAATAAAAGCTGATGGTCAGATACCACGTCATGCCATTGCCGATTGTGGTCCTGAGGAAGCAGTACATTTCGCTGCCACCCGTTCAGTCAGTAACAGAATCAGGAATTTCCATTCTTTGCTTCCCTTCGTTCGGTCTCTGGCCCAAGTTAGTTTCCCATGGCTGTCTCGACAGGCCCATCCGCCTGTACATACGGCTGAACTTGAATCAACTCTAAGGGAGGCGATACGGAGAATCACTCCATCACTCACCCGGGAGTGTCAAGCCGAAACTTATACCTCCTATTTGTCACCCGAGATCCAGACATCGGTAACGCTGTTGGAAGAGTTGGTCCTGCGTGATCATGTTGATGTTGTCTTTCTTAGCCAGAATGTCCACAGAAGACGACGCTCAGAGTGGCCTACCCTTGACCTTCAACTAATGCGGCAAACACGCAGTGTCATACCCCCATCTAGTGGCTCTCTAGCTAGGAGAATTCAGGAGCATGTCCATGCAGCTGCTGCTGACTGTGACTTTGATAATGTATTGAGGGACGACGGTCCGATTTTGGGACGACTAGAGTACCCGAATACCCCATATGATGAGATACTACGCGCGCTTTACTATAGAGGTAGGGTACAATCTGCAGTGTGGGATTTATTTCTTATTCTCTGCGAACGAGGTTTTCTCAATCTTGAGGCAAGCTTGGAACAGCCAATAAATTTCTACTCAACTCCTGAGTCGCTGTGCAACGTGTTGAATTTACTGCTGTGCTTTAAAAAGCCGTGCGAAGCTGATGCTTGTGTACCAAATAATTTCAACACCAGCTTGACTACTCCAATCCAATGGCTTGCAGTAATGATATCGCGGGGATGTGCTGAGCCACAGCGACTGTTTGAAACTATCCATTATACACGGATTCTTGGCCCATTGCTCGAATGTGAAGTAAACAAATTGCTTCATGCAAACAACGGTCCCATTTCGATTGAGTGTGACCCCAAGATGGTTTCTGGATACTCCCCACCACCTTTTGGTTTTTGGCTTCCCTCTGGCGTCGGCAATGACCCCTCAATGATCCCTGACATCGTTCTCAAACGGCTGGCTCTTTTTAACGAGACGGAAGCTCTTTTCAAGGAACTCCTCAGACTTGGTGACGCAGAGCTGCCCTTGGGGCCGCAACGGTTCGCAATTGACTATCAAATACCACGTACGTAACAAGCATATCCCATATTCATCATACACCAACGAGAACGCGAGAGAGCCACTACAATGCCTCTCAACAAGCTTCTTCCCCCACTAATTTCAGTAACCTGTTCTATTATTGGACAGGGCTAAAAGCTCAAACACGTTTTGGGCGCTCGAGGGACCATTACGATAACTAACTAGTCACGACCAGGACCTGGCTGCCAATAATAACTGACAATCTGTCGAACGTGCTGGAGCAATATCGGGATCGCATCAGTGAAACTTATAAGAAAGTCAGTTTCATTGAGACCCCGCAGCCTACCCTTGCTTGAGCAGGCCTTGCTCTCTAAGGTCTCCGTGACTTAGTTATGGGATGTTGCAACTAGTTTCCGTTTGTCTCTTTGGCGTAGTTAGCCAGCTCCTGTCTCATCGCGGTCCTCCCTGGCAGAACTTGACAGACTACATTTGCCCATCACCATCACAACAATGTTCACCACCAAGCCCTCAATCTCAGGCTTGCCCCTCGACGGGTCCGAGCCCATGCAGAAGCGGTGCAGTATAGTTAGCTTTTCGCCACAATGGCTTGTTGGTGCTAAGCAACAGGGTGTGGAGCAACCAAGAGCAAGCTTGATGCTTAGCCCAAAGGTTCAGGGCGCCACGTATGCCTCCCGCCCTTCTCCTTTTATATTCTGTGCAGCTTTCAACAGACTACTAACTAGTGGGGGTCTATGCAGATGATATATCTTGCTGAAATGAGAGAATTTTGGAAATATATACTCCGTACAGCAATCAACTCACTCGCTTGCTCAAAGTTTGAGACCCATCATGGGAGGGGTCAGCTTAGCAGCGGGGGGATGGTATAGATTCATCATTAGACCCTGCACGGCGTATTAATACTGTATTATCGAGTCGAATATCAAACCGAGTACCGTTTTGTATCTACTGGCCTTTTAAAGAGCATTAGCCACAGATATCTGAGATACCTGAACGGCGTCAGTCCAATCCCTCTTTAATATCCACAAGGGCACTTCTAGACTTATTTAGGTATACTAGACAACCATTGAGATGGTATGCACCCCTCTAGTGGGGTTTAGATCGTGAGAGGGTGGCCCACGGTACAATGGCATACGCAAAGGACATCGAGGAGAACGGTATGTAGGCAGGCTGCGGGGTTGTAGAGCGAACAGTACATTACACTGATCCGCTTTAACCATGAAGGGATAGAATGCTGCGATGGCATTGGAGGTATCTGTAGCAATAATAACATCATCGCCCCTCCATGGTGCTTAAGATCCATCCCGAAACGTAGGCGGGTTGAGAATAGGGGGTCCCACACGGATATCACGGACGGCATCAATGGCTGGCAACATGTCTATAAATTCACCGCTATATCCCCGATGAACCGTTGTATCTTTGGATTTAATAATATCAAACTGCATTAAATCTACCTACGGATTAAATCAAGCCACAGCAATCATGGGTTTCTTCGAGAGTAAGATAGCCCCTTTTCTCCGGCTGACTTGCAGAATGAGACTAACTAAGTGACATTGCTTGATAGATTTCTCCAACCATGCCGACGCTCACAATGAGGTCATGAATGCTCCTCACAAGGCCTCCCTGTCTCACGAGCTGATTGCCGGTGCCGCCGCTTACGAGGCCGCAAAGGCCTATGAGGACCACGTCCAGAAGAATGGTAAGGAGAATGCCGGCCTATTTGGTATAGCTGGCTAGTTGCTTACAGGATATACAGGAAAGCCAGACAGCCATGCTAAGGCCAAGGAGATCCTCGCTGGCTTCGCTGGAGCTTTCACAGACCGCATCATCGAGACCAAGGGCCTTGACTACATTGATAAGGAGAAGGTGAAGTACCAGGCCCATGAGCATGCTCAGGATGCCCTTGGACGGGAGTACTAGGTCCGTGGCTTGATGGGATGATTGATGATTTTACGCAAATATACAACTAGTTATTAAAAACAATAAACACTGTCAAGAGAACCAGAGAGTTTTTATTTACTATCTAGTAAATCTCTACCAGTCAATGCTGGCATTGAGATAGCCTCCACGATTAACGTGGGGCGAATTATTCGTTTCGTAATGTTGAAATTAAGTCTATGACATTTACCATACCTGTGCCCTTTTTGCCCTTGATTTTGATGTTGAATAAACGGAGTAGGAAAAGAAGAAAAAGAAATCAGCTAAACCAAGCAAAAAAAGCACGCTCCCATGTTCACGTTTCAATAACTTAATAGCGGTAGCTGTAGGCGGTCAATTGGTTAGCATTGAGCGTTTTTGGTTGATTTTCAGTGGGGGGAAACACAAGGAATTTCACTTACATGTCGCTCTTGAAGGGACCCTCAACGTCGAGGCCAAGGTATTCGGCTTGCTTGGGGGTGAGCTTGGAGAGCTTAGCGTTGACGTGCTCGAGGTGGAGGAAAGCGACCTGCTCGTCGAGGATCTTGGGAAGGACGTAGACACCGATGTCACGCTTGCCAGTGGCACCGAACTCAACGTACTTCTTGCCGAACTCGGGGTCGTTGCACTTGAAGAGGAGAATCTGGGCGAGGACTTGGTTGGAGAAAGAGCAGGACATAACGAAGGAGGAGTGGCCGGTAGCACAGCCAAGGTTGACCAATCGTCCCTCAGCGAGAAGGATGATGTGGTTGCCGGATGGCATGAGGTAGCGGTCGACCTGTGGCTTGATGTTCTGGACGGACTTGGCGTTGGCCTTGAGCCAGGCAACGTCGATCTCAATGTCGAAGTGACCAATGTCTAGGTATCGTTAGCAATGCACGCGATTGCATATATACATATTGAATATGCGGGAACTACTTACTGCAGACAATGGCATCGTTCTTCATGACGTTGAAGTGCTCGCCGGTAAGGATGTCACGGCAACCAGTGGTGGTAACGAAGATCTGGCCCTTGGGGGCAGCCTCCTCCATGGTGAGGACCTGGTAACCGGCAACGGCGGCCTGGAGAGCGTTGATGGGGTCGATTTCAGTGACAATGACGGCAGCACCCATGCTGCGGAGGGCCTCGGCGCAACCCTTGCCGACGTCACCGTAACCAGCAACGACGGCGATCTTACCGGCAATCATGACATCGGTGGCACGCTTGATTCCGTCGATGAGGGATTCTCTGCATCCGTAGAGGTTGTCGAACTTGGACTTGGTGACGGAGTCGTTGACGTTGACGGCGGGTACGAGGAGCTCACCGCTCTTCATCATCTTGTAGAGGTGGTGGACACCGGTGGTGGTCTCCTCAGAGACACCATAGCAGTCCTTGAGCATCTCTGGGTACTTCTTGTGGACGAGGGAGGTCAAGTCACCACCGTCGTCAAGGATGAGGTTGAGCTTCTTTCCGTCCTTGAAGGCAATCAATTGCTGCTCAAGGCACCACTCGTACTCTTCCTCGGTCTCACCCTTCCAGGCGAAGCTAGATACACGGATGTCAGAAGAGCCGAGACTCAAGAAGAATGCCAATTGAAGGCTTACTTACACTGGGGTACCAGAGGCAGCAATGGCAGCAGCAGCATGGTCCTGGGTGGAGAAGATGTTGCAGCTGGACCAGGTAACCTCAGCACCGAGGGCAGTGAGGGTCTCAATGAGCACGGCAGTCTGAATGGCTACAAAATTGTCAGCCATACACCGTCATAATCGGGACTCTCGCTGTCTCAGCAGGCAGACGTACTCATGTGAAGACATCCAGCGATTCTGGCACCCTTCAATGGGGCGTCTGCGGCGTACTTCTTGCGGATGGCCATCAAGCCAGGCATCTCGATCTCGGCGATCTCGATCTCGCGGCGCCCGAAGGCAGCGAGGGACTACGCATGTCAATTAGCCATGGAATCTCTCAAATATTACGGTAGAACAGGTGTCGACAGAGGATTCCTTACGATGTCGGCGACCTTGAACTTGGTAGCGGGAGCAGCCATGGTGGGGTTCTAGGAGATGGATAAATGGATAAACCTGGGGACTCAAAGACGGTGAAGATACCGATAAGGACGATGAAGCTGATGAAGCTGAAGAAGCAGAGATGAAGATGGAGATGGAGATATCAAGGCGAAGAAGAAGAGGAGGAGGAAGAGGAGGAAGAAGAAGAAGAAGAAGAAGAGAAAGTCGGCTTCGAACGCTTTTCTGGTCAATTTATCAAAGTCTCCGAAGTGGGGGAAAAAGTTGGCGCGGGAAGGAAGCGGGCCGATGTTTTTCCTCTTGGTTCTCCTCCAGGGGTAAACCAGCGTCTGCGGGAAAAGGATATTGTTTGATGCTTGATATTTGATATTTGATATATCGAGAAAAAGAGGAGCAAGAAAGAAGAAGAAGAAGA